CATCGTAAAATAATTTGAGCATATATCCAAATATATAATATAAGGGTAGTATTGATGTAAAAATTTTAGTTAGTAATATAGTTAAAAATTTCTGAATTCTATGCAATTTGGAGTTAATTTCTTGTCTAATTGAACCAGACAAAGGTAAAAAAACAAGTATAAGTGATATTATAGTAACATATTTAATATTGATATATTGACTAAGTATTACTGCAACCAATGGAGATATACTATTAGTAGGAATTAAATTTGTTTGTACTGAAAAATTAGGTAGAAAAAAAATATGACTAAATCCATAAGCTGTTAACATGCAGCAAAAATTTGAAAAAAAATTGCTAATAAAAGCAATATTAGATAATAGAAAGCGTTGTGTCCAATAGACACTAGAGAGTAAAGTAAGTAAGTTGATACTATAAAAGGAAGAAATAACATAAAAATTTCTGCGATTACTATACTTAAAGTATAAAAAAATCTAACAGATATTAAGGAAATATAATTAGAAATTATATAGCTAAACACAAAGCAACATAATAGACGTTCAAACGGGTTTTGTAAAATTTTTTGAAAAATACCTATATCTACCCTCATCCTATACTCTTTCATATACGATATTTTTATTTTATTATAATTTTCCATTTATGTATACCAATTAAGTTTTTGTTATGTTTAATCACATAAGGTTTATTACTATTCGAAGAACTTAAACAAAAATATTTCAATCCAGAGAAAAATGATTTACAAATAACAAAAAATTTAATACACTAAAATAAGTTAACTATTTTTACAAATAGGTTTACATTATGTCAAATGATGAAGAATATATATGTTTAGTAAATAGCGAAGAGCAGTACTCAATATGGTTTGCATGGAAGGAGGTTCCTAATGAATGGAAGAAAGTAGGACCTAAAGGTAATAAGGAGGAATGCTTAAAATATATAAGCAGTGTATGGACTGATATGAGACCAAAAAGTCTTAGAGAAAAGTAGAATGGAGAAGTAATTTCTTTGTTCATTGATTTAAGATACAATAGTTGTAGCCTCTTACTAAAATGCAAATAATTATGAAAACAACAATAATTTTAATTTTAAGCGTTTTTGGTAATGCATTAGAATTGTACAGCTTTACGTTGTATACAATTTTTGTTAGTCAAGTTGCTGATGTTTTCTTTCCGTTTGAAGATAAGCTAATATCAATATTAGCTAGCTTTGGAACATTTGCTACCGGATTTATAACTCGACCATTAGGAGCTATTATTTTTGGCCATTTAGGAGATAAATATGGTAGAAAATATGCGTTGTCAATATCAATGATACTTATGACTTTTCCTACGGTACTTATCGGATTACTTCCAAGTTATCAAATTTTAGGTATTTTTTCTCCTGTGCTACTTATTTGCTGTAGGCTAATTCAGGGAATATGTATAGGAGGCGAACATAATGGAGCAGCTATATTTGCAATCGAGCATATGGGCAATAAGTACAATCCAGGCTTCATTGGTGGTTTGGTAAGTGGTTCTTGCTTTATTGGTACATTGCTAGGCACTTTAGCAGGATCAATCTGTTTAAATCCAATAATGCCTAGTTGGGCATGGAGAATACCTTTCTTATTGGGAGGATGTATGGGTTTTATTGTTTATTTTGTACGAACAAAAATTCAAGAAACACCACAATTTGTTGATAGTAAAGAAATAAAAAAAATACCATTATTAGCAGCCCTAAAAAATAGTAAGGGATCTTTAATTATGACTTTTACTGTAGGTAGTTTAGATGGAGTATTTTGTTATACTTTACTAGGTTTTATGAATATATATTTATCTAAATATTTAGATATCAAGCCCCATTTATCTATACTTTTGAGTAGTATAACATCAATTACTATAATACTACTCTGTCCTATAAATGGATATTTAGCCAATAAAGTAGGGAATGCAAAATTTTTGATATTAGCCAATATTGTAATTATATTTAGCTCTATACCATTATTTATGCTTTTTTCTATAGATAATATTTATCTACTAATAATGGCTTTTATAATATTTGGTATTCTAACCACAACTATTTTAGGTCCTCAGCATTCATTTTTTCAAGAGCTGTTTCCTGTTAGAGAAAGATATAGTGGCATAGCAGTAAGCTATTGTATGGGTATTTCTCTTTCAGGTGGAACTACTCCTATAATTTTAACTATATTAGTTGAAGCTTTACAAAATAGACTTATTCCAGCATTTTTATTAATGAGCTACTCACTAATATGTTTGCTATCTATTTTATATTTTTTTAAACCTTCTCAGCATTAATTAAGAATGTATATCTATAATTTTAAGAAAAATAATAGCTTACTTATTTCTACTAAATAAAAGTAGAACTAATAAGAGTTTATGTAAAGTAAATTAGTTTTACTTTATTTATAAAATTAGTTAATATTAAATTATTAGGTTAGAGTTAACAAGTGCTTTCAATATAGATAAAAGTACTTAAAAAAGTACATGTTATGCTAATCTTATTTAAAGCTTTATAATTCTTAAGTAAGGGTATTATGAGTAAAATTGACAGAATAAGTAAGGTCAGTATTGAAGAGTTTCAACTGAAATACATAGTAAAAAATAAGCCTGTTATTATTACAGATGGAATGGAGAATTGGGAAGCACGCACAATATGGACTATAGATTATTTTATAACTAACTATGGTGAAGAGGAAGTACAACTTTATGATGACTTATTTAATTTAATAGATGTAATTACTTTAAAGGAATATATTGATGAGTATTTTGGACAAAAAAATTCAAATTTAATAAATAACAGGATCATACCATATGTTAGATGGTATACTAAGCTTAAAAACCATGAGTTTGTTTGGGCAGATAGTGTTTTTAATAAAATACAAGATCATTGGGAATTACCTTATTTTCTTCCTGAAAATAATTATTTGTTGCCATATAATTTTAACATAGGGAAACCCCTTAGTCCTAATAAAGATAAATTTCCAGCAAAAGGATTTTTTGTTTCTGCAAAAGGAGCTAAGACTAAGCTACATTACGATCCTTGGTGTTCTGATGCTGTACTATGTCAACTTTATGGCAGTAAAAAAATAACTATGTATAGTCCAGAGCAAAAGAAATTTCTTTGCCAAAATGACAAGCTAGTGGATATAAGGAACCCTGATCACAATAAATTTCCATATTTTAAGCAAGCTATTCCTGATTTTATTGACACTCTAAATCCTGGAGAAATCGTATTTTTTCCTCATAATTGGCTACATGATGTACTCACCATTGAAGATAGTATTTCAGTAACGTGGAATTTTGTCCATATAAGTACTTGGGCTTCTTTTTTTAATTATTTAATTAATAATCCAAAAGCTGAAGAATTAGAAGTCATTAAATTTTTTTTAAGCAATAATGAAAATTATTAAAAGCTTCTTTTTTCATACTTCTTAAAAACTTGCTACAAAATAAAAAACATAAAACTCATTTTACATCCCAAATTTACCTTTTTATGTTGGGCTGCTATTCAATATTTATAACAATAACTCGTTACAAATTTTTATTATTTGAAGGTTATTATTAGTCCAAGATTCATGAGTATCATCCATAGTTATTAATTTAAAAGATTTACTTGAAAGAAAATGGTCAAGATAATTATACTTAGCGTTTTCAGCATAATATTTATAGATTATGTAATTACTTTCTTCTAAATCTTCTGTGTTATTTGTATTATTTGGTACTCTTAATGCTTTAAATAATATGATATTTACATTTGATTTCTTAAAATTTAGTGATGGTGAGTACTTATAATTAATATTATGTTTATTATATAATAACATATCTGTTTTCAGTATTACTTTTTTATAATTAAAAAATGAGTCTATTAGCACAACCTTTCTCACAGTACTACCCTCATTTACTAGCTGCTTGGCAATTTCAAGTGCTAATACACCACCAAAACTCCACCCAAATAAATTATAAGGCCCTTGTGATTGAATTGATTTGATATAGCAAATATAATCTTTTGCTAAATTTTTATATGACACATAATCAGTTTCATTTGGATTAAATTTGTTGCTGAGATAAAGATAATAATTATTAAATAATACTAAATGTTTATTACCTAATTTTGGTACTATATTATTAAAATAGCTTTCTGCTCCTCCCTCTCCTGGAGGAAATATAAATAATTTATTTTGATTACCTTTTATTGCCTTATTAAATAAAATATATGGCTCAAAATCATTAAAATCACTCATTGTATACTCAATAACTTGCTTATGCATACAATGAAAAATTAATTTTTCTAATTTTTTCTTAAATAATGAAGCCATTATTATCATAACTTCTAAATCTAATTTACTTGTGATATTAAATTTAAGTTTATTGCCTATAGTCATTCCATTGATATTAATTATTTCATAGTCTTGATTGTCATCATTAGTAGATATTCCACCATTCTCATCAACAATACTCCAAAATTTTTGTTGTTCTAAATTATTTTCTTCATCAAACTGTCCCAAATAATTAAAAGTGATTCTAGGCATATTATCTGACTTGTATCCCATGATTGCTCCATACCCAATTCCTCTGTTAGGTACCTGCCTCAAGTTTTCTTTAGTATTTTTGATACTATCGCCTAACTCTTCATACATTTCTAATCGTACTGGATACATAGTAGTAAACCATCCAACCGTTCTTGTTACATCTATATTATTATCTATTTCTTCTCTACCATGTCCTTCTAATATTATATGATTAACTCGACTTCCAGTTACCTCATATAACGCATATCCTAGTGCTGTTAGGAGTATGTCATTTACTTGAGTATGATATGTTCTATTACTATCTCTTAGTAATTGTCGAGTTTGTTCAATGCCTAATTCAAAATTTGTATAATTATTAATATTTTCACGTACTATTAATTTAGCTACAATATTTGCATTATAATCAGCTAAAACATTGTTCCAATAATCTTCCTCTTCAGAATGTACAGTTGCATATTCCTTTATTGTTTCTACCCATTGTCTATAGCTACTTCCTTTTGGGCCTAATTCTTTACCATTATATATGTTTTTTAAATCTTCTACTAATATCCTCCAACTCACTGCATCTACTATTAAGTGATGCAAAGCGAAGAATATTCTAGTACTACCATCTGCATAACCATAAATGTAACCAATGCTATATAATGGACCATATTCTAGATTAAACGCACTTTGCCAGTTAGTTAGTATTTCCTGAAGCTTAGCTTTAAATTGTTCACTACCTTCTTTTTCTCCTAACGTTCCTATATCTAAAGTTTTTAATGCCTCTACTTTAATACTCTCATCATAACATTGAGTGTAAACTGAGTTTACATTTTTTTTATAACGTAATCTAAAGCTATCATGATGCTCAACTAAATTACGTACACTTTTCTCTAATCTTTCTAAGTCTAAGCTAGGAGTTCTTATTATAAAAGATTGGTTCCAATGATTAGCTTTTACAAAATTACTCTCAAAAAACCATAATTGTATTGGTAGTAACTCTACTTTTCCTTTAAGTATACCTTGTTCCGTCTTAACATTTAGAATAGTATTATTATGGCTTAAAACATTGTCATAGAGTCTTTCTATGGTTTTATAAACAAAGATGTCCTTTATGCTAACATTTAGGCTTAATTTTTGACGTAATCTGCTTATCAACTGAATACTTACTATACTATCACCACCTAATCTAAAGAAATCATCACGGATACCAACTTTATCTATAGCTAAACCTAGTACATTGGCCCAAATCTCACATACTTGCTTTTCTACTTCATTACGTGGAGCTACATAATTATCCCCACTACTGAACTCAGGCTCAGGTAATGCCTTTCTATCTAACTTACCATTGATTGTTAATGGTAAACATTGGCCCAAATCTCACATACTTGCTTTTCTACTTCATTACGTGGAGCTACATAATTATCCCCACTACTGAACTCAGGCTCAGGTAATGCCTTTCTATCTAACTTACCATTGATTGTTAATGGTAATTCCTTTAAGTGCACTAGCACAGATGGTATCATATATTCTGGTAACTTCTCTTGTAGATAACCTATAATATTTTCTTCATCTAATTTAGATTCTGATACATAGTAACCTACTAAATATTTATTAGCTGCTAAGTCTTCTTCAGTATTTTTATGTTCTTTAGATATTCTGGTAATTTCTTTTGTAGATAACCTATAATATTTTCTTCATCTAATTTAGATTCTGATACATAGTAACCTACTAAATATTTATTAACTACTAAGTCTTCTTCAGTATTTTTATGTTCTTTAGCAATTACAACACTTTGTCCTATCCCATCATAACTTGATAAAGCATTTTCTATTTCTCCTAATTCTATTCGATATCCTCTGATCTTTACTTGAAAATCATTACGTCCTATATATTCTAAATTGCCATCAGGTAACCAACGTACTAAATCTCCTGTTTTATATAGACGGGTATTCTTATTATAAAATATTCTGGTAACTTCTCTTGTAGATAACCTATAATATTTTCTTCATCTAATTTAGATTCTGATACATAGTAACCTACTAAATATTTATTAGCTGCTAAGTCTTCTTCAGTATTTTTATGTTCTTTAGTAATTACAACATTTTGTTTTATCCCATCATAACTTGATAAAGCATTTTCTATTTCTCCTAATTCTATCCTATATCCTCTGATCTTTACTTGAAAATCATTACGTCCTATATATTCTAAATTACCATCAGCTAACCAACGTACCAAATCCTCTGTCTTATATAGACGAGTATTCTTATTATGAACTTTCTCTTCTTCTGTTTGAAACGGGTTAGCAATAAATTTCTCTGCTGTAAGGTCTGCTCTGTTTAAATATCCTCTAGCAAGTCCTACTCCTCCTATGTATAATTCTCCTATCCCTCCTATCGGTAATGGCATTAAGTTATTATCTAATACATAAACTATTATGTTATCTACTTGCTTACCTACACACACTGTTTTTATATCTTTACTATTACAATTGTAATATAATACATCTATTGACGCTTCAGTCGGACCATATAAGTTATGTATTTCAGCTCTAGGTAATAATACTTGACTCTCTTGTATTTGATATAAATTAAGTACTTCACCACTACAAAATACATATCTCACACTAGGCAAAAGATTTTCATATTGCTGGTCGTTGTTATTTAAGTATTCTTGTTTATTATTAATTTTAAGATTATTTACAAACACGCCAAGCATCGATGGTACAAAATGTATTATAGTTATAGATTCTTTTCTTACTAAATTTACAAGATAATCCACATTTTTATGACCTTCTGGTTTAGCAAATACTATTGAAGCTCCATACCAATGAGCCCATAGCAATTCCCATACAGAAACATCAAAACTATAAGAAGTTTTTTGTAGTACTTTATCAGTTTCACTTAATGGATACATACGATTCATCCAGTGAATTCTATTCACTATTCCTCTGTGTTCTATCATTACTCCTTTAGGAGTACCTGTAGTACCTGAAGTATATATCACATATGCAAGGCTAGAGCTATTTACGTAAGTTAAAGGGTTAGATATTCTACATGAATTCAACAGAGTTTGTACTTCATTATTATTAATGACTAAAATACAAGCTGAACCAATATTTAACTTGTCTAATCTTGGTTCATATATTTCATTAGTTAATATCAGCTTAGTACTAGTATCTGCTAATATATATTTCACTCTATCATCGGGATAATTAGGGTCTATTGGTACATAAGCTCCCCCAGCTTTTAGTATAGCAAGAATAGCTACCAACATATATTCACTTCTATCTAAACATAGTGCTACTAATGTATCTGGTTTAATATCATGTATTTGTTTTAAATAATTTGCTAATTGATTGGCTCTTTCATTTAATTCTCTATATGTGAGCTTAGTCTCTTCATATATTATAGCTATGTTATCAGGAGTTCTTTCTACTTGCTCCTCAAATAATTGGTGAATGGTTTTATTATTTGGATAATCTTTGTTTGTTTGATTATATTTAATCAAAATTTGATATTGTTCTTGAGAAGTTAATATAAAAAAATTATCCAATATCTGATGAGGGAAATAAATGATTTGATTAAATAAACGATTTATATGTTTAGAAAAATTTCTTAAAAGGATTTTTCCTGCTTCATCATAATTACCTTTACTATGTAGAGTGTATGTTTTACTTTTTTCGTCAATGTTAAATAACAAAGTAGCATATTGTAAATGATTCTTTATTTTTCTGTAGCTTCCTCTATTGATAATGACTAAAAAATCTGAATAGTACGTTTCTAAATCAGGATATCGTACATAAATATCTTTAAAATGTGCCTTATTTTTTTCTAATTCATATATTTGATCCTGTACATATTTCAATATATCTAAAGCACTTAATCCTGATTTTACAAAATATGTCAAAGGAACATATTGAGGAAAAACAACTTTACTGCTTTGCGGTAAACTATTTAAAAACGAATTAGTAAAACCTATACTAAAAGGGCAAGAATTTCCTAAATGGCGTAGATAAATTAAAAAAGCAGCAATAAATACCTCTAGGTAAGAAACTTTACATTTACCTATGAAATAGTAGTCAGATTTTAGAATTTTTTCTGTATGAGTAAAAAAATTAGCTTGCTTCTTCTGCTGAAAAGTGAGTTGCTTTAAGTCTACTAGTACAGGGCTTCTAAATAATATTTTAGCTGGTTCAACATTGGCAAGTTTCTTTTTCCAAACCTTTTCTAATGGAGAAACCTCTTTAGAAAAGGTCTGTAATTGCTTTAAAAATTTTTTAGAAGGGGTTTTAAGTTGATAACCTACTGTAATTTTATTCTTGTTTATAATTTCTTTAATATCACACCATTTTCCTGATAAAGTTCTTAAATTTGAGAAATTAATATCTAATGTTTTAGTAGAAATTTGAATTCCTTGCTTACTAATCTTCACAATAGTACCTGAACTGCATTGTGACTTAATAGGTAGTATTTCTAAACTATTAGGAATGTAAACTCTTTTAGCAATAAGTACTTTAAAGGTAACAAGACTATTAGGATAATCTCCAAACCTCAAAGCTCTAGATTCTCTATCTATTTCTTGAGCAGAATAATTCCAGCAAGCAAATCCAAAAGTATGAGGCTTTTGATAGATAGAAAAATAGCTTCTCTTTTCTAGATTTTGTTTTTCTCCAGCAACAGGATTTTGGGCAAGATCTTGAATTAACTCTTTAAAAGCTTGTAAAGCATACATGTAGCACTTAAGATTAAGACTTAAAACTGTTTCATTTATGTCAATAGGAAAGGAAATTTGTTTTAATATATTACCAGAATCTACTATTGTATCCATTATATGCCAACTTATGCCATGAGTTAATTCATTATTTAAAATTGACCAAGAAGTAGCATTTATTCCAGCATATTTTGGTAAAAGAGCGTCATGATAATTTATAGAGTAGTAACGAGGTAAGTTTAGAAGATCTTGAGACAGAATACAGCTATTAACTATACTGAAAAGATAATCAAAAGACTTAGGAGTTATATCAAGTTGTTTAAACTCTTTGACTGAGGAAATATAAGGAATATTATTTTTAATAGCCCAGCGATGAATTTCATGATTAGGTGAAATAATGCCTAAAATTTGGCATCCTTCTTTAAAAATTGCTTCTGCACATAAAACACCTAAACTTGTCTCACTAATAATATAACAACTGAATGTTTTTCCCATATATGTACCTTAACAATATCATTACTAAGAACTAAGCTGCTTAAAATTAGAGCTCACAATATTTCGAATTATTGCTGATAGGCAATACTAAATTTAAATTGATATTAGTATGCGCGATTTATCATTACTACGTGTATTTACAATAGGAGTTTTGCACACACGTAAACCTTTATATTTTCTTTATAGATTAAAGTGTTATTAATAAACATAAGTAAAAATCATTAAACATCTCTAAAATTTAAGTTCATTCTTTATCAAAATGCTCCTTGTTTTATTCTATTAATATCTTATTACTAAGTAAAGCTTTTTATAAATAACAGTCTATTTCGCTGACATACGCGTCATATATCTTAATCATTAAGGTAGAGACATTTTTTAACATCATATACAGCTATAATGGACTGAGAAAAGTGGATTAGTCATGTTATCGGCTTTATAAATGTTTGCCAACACCCTATAGTATAGCAACCTACCAAAAAAGTTACTCATTATTCTGTAGAATACCATCATTTTTTATCGCCTTTTTTCCATATCCCCCTACCTAACTCTATCAGGGAGTTCTTGCTGCCTATATGAATCTTTCCGAACAAAATAAGCTGTGGAATTTACAAGTCAGGTTTTAGCATTTACAGCTAAAATTCCGATAGGCGCACTTGGGCAAAGTTGGCATACCAACTTTGCGCGCGCTCAAATTATTCGGCTTTTGTAATTGCTATTACCCAAAAACTTAAACTTAACAAACTTATAACGGTAATGGCAATATATCATTGTAGTAAATCAGAAGTACAAAGAAGCAAAGGACAAAATGCAATCGAAGCTAGCGCCTATATTTCAAGAAGCAAATTGCAGCTTGTTACAACTAATAGTAGCACAGGAGAGCGACTCACTATTAGCTATAATTTTAGCAGCAGAAAAGGGCTTGCCTATAGTATAATTCTAGCCCCAGATGATGCCCCTAGCTGGGTTTATAATAGGCAAGAATTATGGAATAACGCCAGAGAGTAGCGAGACACGAAAAAATGCTGAGACAGCAAGAAAGTTAATCATAGCCTTACCAAAAGAATTAACTCTACAGCAGAATATTGAACTTATCGAGGATTTTGCTTTTGAGTGTCTAGTAAGTCACGGCATGATAGCAGACATAAACACTCATTATGACAATGAAGATAATCCCCATGTCCATATTCAAATGACTACCAGAAGGTTACTGCGGTCATTAGAAAATGGCGAAGTAACTTTTGGGGTAAAAGGTCGTAATTGGGGAAGAAGAGAGTTTTTATATTATTATCGAGAAAATGTCGCCAATTTTATCAACTTGTATTTAGAAAAACATGGTCATTTAGGTAATGTATCGCATTTATCGCATAAAGCAAGGGGAATTGATTTAATACCAACTATCCATGAGGGATCAGCCTGGTATATCAAAGACTCTAGGCTGAAATTAATAAATGCCCAAATACTCAAAGAAAATGCTGCAAAGATTAGAGCAACCCCAGAATTGGTATTTGATAAATTATCAATTAATAAACCAGTTTTTACTAAGGAAGAAATAGCTATAGCCTTGTCTGATGTACTATCTGTAGATTTGAAGATAGGGCCAGCAGCGAAACAAGCAGCAGCACAAGTGGATGATAGTTTCGATCAGCAAAAACTGCAGCAAGATTTAAGAGAGTTAAGTAAGCAATTAGTAATAGAAAATGTTCAGGAAGATAAGGAGGTATCTGGCTATAATATAGTAGCAGGTACTAATAGTGCTGTTACTATCAGTGCTGTTGATAGTAACAGTGATAATAGTAGTATTACTGTTAGAACAGTACAGTAGCAGAAAATATAGATCTATTGCACCACGAATATTCTACTGAATTTATGCTGCTCTTTCGTCAGTTGTTGGCGTCCGATAAGATTAGTTTAGTAAATCCTAGTGATTTAAAAGGTCGTACTTTATATGCATTAACCAAAAGGATAAAGTTAGAGCAGAGATTTGTTGGAATAGTGGAAGAATTACAGCACCGGCAACAACATAATCTGTCTATTGATGAGAGTGCAATAGGTAAGCTTTCTATAGGGGAGAAATTAATTGCCAATGCTGTGAAAGTTGGTATTCCTGTGCAGGAAGTGGTAAACGACAAGTTAGGATTAAAGTACGATCTAATTGAAAAACAATTTGAGCCTTTAACAAAGGAGCAACGCAAAGCAGTAATGGAGATTGTGAATGGCAGAGATATTAGCATATTAGAGGGGTATCCTGGCGCTGGTAAGACATTTGTTATGCGTGAGGTAGTAGGTCAATATAGAAAAGCAGGTTACAGGGTAATAGGAGCGGCCCCAAGTAGTAGCGGCGCAAGTTTTAGCAAGCGCTACTGGTATTGAGTCAAAGAATATAGCGCTGTGGCGTAAAGAATGGCAAGAAGCTAAGGGGCAAAAGTTTGAATTGGCTTTGCGCTCTGATTATTATACCGAAGAACAATATCAACATCAAGATAGAGTAGAGAGTGATTTTAGTCAGTATTGCAATAATATGGGTATTGATGTCAGTACTGAATTAAATAATAAAACAATCTTGATTATAGACGAAGCAAGCATGATTGAGCTCGCGAACATGGATTATTTGCTAACTGAAGTATCAAGGTCTGGAGCAAAAGCGATAATAGTAGGTGATAATAATCAGTTTGTTGCTGGTTGGTATGACAGGCGCTTTCAAGAAAGTATGCACTATGTCTCAGGTCAGTAAATTAACTGAAGTGATGCGGGCATAAACATCCTGATGAACGGATCAGGAAACTGCAACGGGAAGCTACCAAGCTAATGGGTCTGTATAAGATGAACGAAGCGTTAAAGATTTTCCAGCAGCTTAGAGCATTTAATATTCATGATCATGAGCTAGCCACTAAAGACGCATTAGTAGCAGATTATATTAGTGAATATTTAGTACAAGCCAGTCACTTGAACCGAGATGATTTAGCCTCGAT